TCGGCTGTCCCTACCTCCATTTGACGGCAAATGCTAAAGTAACATGTAAGTGACCTGCCTTTAACAGAGATTTGAAAGCTGAAGTCACAAATTTCCTTTTTCGAAAGAGGTGTTATCGTGATGGTAATTTGAAGTTAAACTAATCAAGCTTACAGTATATTTGGTTTTGTGTACAGTGAAGTTTTTTGGTTTAAAAGTGTTGTTGATTTTTTTTTAATTTTTTAGATTGTTTTGATATGAAGATATTAAAAATAAATTATATAAATTATTTTAATTTATTTTTAAATAAAAAACAATTGCTATCATGATCTCAAATACAATCTTAAATTAAAAAAAAAGATTTATTTTCTACTTTTTGAAGATAGCAAGTTAGGAACACGATTTGATAGGATGATCGGAAAAAAAGTGAATATATTATCTACTTGTGGGGGTATGCTATTTAAGCAAAAATTTAAAGAAGTAGAATAGTTAAAAACAAAAACAATCACATGATAGACTAGAAAGACAAATTGATGAAAAGAGACCAGAATAATAAGGTGGTATAGAGATACAAAACATATAGCATCTTAAGATCCAACAACTCCTTACAATGGACTAGCTTTAGAAATGATTGCTCAAACAATTGCAAAACTTATGGCTAAAAATAATGCTTAGTTAGTTCTAGCTTACAAAGGTAATATAAAAGAAAAGAAATATGAGAAAGAAGAAAAAGGGTAAGAGAGGTTAGTTGTGGGTTATGAAGGTGGAAGAAAATAGTTTAAAGAGGGAATTTCCTTTCACAAAGCATGTATTAGAGGCTTTATCCCTATACAAAATTGCTAATCCTTGAGTCATATAATGGATTGACTTATCTAAGCGATCATGTAAGCCATTTTGAGTTAGTGATGCTATTGTATAAATATTAGATGTCCTTTTATATAGGCTATTTTTACAATATTGAAAGGAAGAACATTGATAAGAATCCACATCGATGCATTAAAAAGCTTTCAAGATCTATTTGAATTATTTTTAATCCATTTTACCATAAGTAGAAGATCAGAGGAAGCTTATGTAACTATTATGAGTATAAGGCCAAAAAGAAATAATTATTGCAGGAGTTTATGACATATTCTATAGGGAAAAAACTTAAGATAAAAGATTTGATAGCGCTAATAACTATGTGATCATTAATCTCTATTACAAATAGCATGAGTTTCAAAATTCTCTAGCATTAAAAGAGCCTAAAACTATACAAGAATTTTTTTTATAAAAAATAGTTGAATATTACATACACATCGAATAAGTAATGGGTTGGTAGCTTTAGGGTAAAAAAATGTTTGAATAGAAGAAGGAGAAGTTCATAGAGTAATGTACCCTTATATAGGAGAGATTACTGAAATATAAGGACTATGAAGAGATATAAAAGATCATTAAAAAAAACAAACGCCTTAGAATATGAGCCAAACATATATATTTTTGGTGAATAGAGAAAGAAAAAATTTAATGGCTAGCCAGAATAACATGGAAAGGAAATGAGGGAGATGGGACTATATGTTATATAGAAGGTTTAGACATTAAAGAAAGCATTGTATATCACTAAAAGATGAAATAAAAAATTTGATTAGTTGAGAATTTCCCAAAAAGTTTATCAATCATGATCCTCGAAGACAAGGTATGAGAAAAACACTTAAAGAGATGAAAGAAAAAAAGATTGAAAAGGTCAACCACTATATAAAAGCGATTATCATGGCCAAAATTAGGATGGTAAATAATTTAACAGAAAGGATAGAATTCTGAATGAAAAGGGAAAAAGGAAAATGTATAGAGAAAAGGTAAAAAAAGATAATAAATATAATTATTGGTGGTTTAGAAGTGAAAAATAGAAGCATGACTAGAAGAAAATAATAAAATAGCTAACTCCAGTGCCTAGTTTGACTAAGATAGCAAAAGTAGAGTCATAAATCATTTTTAAAGAATAAGATATAAAAAAGTTCAATCACCTTATTATAATTTGATTATAATTTCATTCATCATCATAAACTCACAATAAGAAGAATACTAATCGACAATGATAATGCTATTGATATATTTTTTTTATTATAAATGTTTTGAACATATAAGGATTAGTAAAGTATAGATCAAATAAGCTAGTGTATCATTGCATGGATTTACAAGGGAAACATTTATACCATAATGATAATCATATTACTAATAACAATGAATATGTAGAGACACCTATGATAGAATACAATAATGTTGAATTTTTTAATGATGTAAAAATCATCATCATACAACATCATATGAGGATAATGTCACTTGATTACCTATGAGTATTATTGTCTACGCACTATGAGGTGATGAAGTTCCCTATTAAAAGAGGGATAAGCAATTTTATGAGCATTCAAATGACCTCTAAATAATTCTATTTACCAAACTTAAAAAAAGAAAAAGTAGCACTTATTAACATATTGGATGTAAGATGAGAAGATGACCTATAAAGATCTACCTCGATGAAGAATTAATAGTGTAACTCGTATATAAAAAGGATCTAGAAAAATATATGAAATAGGAAATGAAGTTAAAGTCCCTAATTTAAATCGAGATTGACATTTTTAAAAGGAAAATTTATGGCACTTTCGCGTGAAGCTGGGAGATATACTTAGAATTCTAAAGGAAGTAATCACTCATAAGCTAAATGCCAGAGAAGAGCACAAGTTAGTAAAGCAGAAAAGAAAGAAAAAGAATTGGTTTATAAAAGATAAAAGGCAAAAAGGAAGTAATCACTCATAAGCTAAATGCTAGAGAAGAGCACAAGTCAGTAAAGCAAAAAAAAAAAAATTGGTTTATAAAAGATAAAAGGCAAAAAATTAGAGAGGAAGTTAACAAATTATTAAGTGTGGGTTTTATTAGATAGGTTGATTGTTCTGAATGCAATTAAACATTATGATGGTAAAAACAAAACTCATTGCAAATAGAGGGTATGTATAAATTTCACTAATTAAATGAGGTATACATAAAGAACACCCACTCCCTAGAATTGATAAGTTAATAGACGCCACCATGGGACATGATTTGATGAGTTTTCTAAATGCGTTTTCAAGATGTCACTAGATAAAAATAGAAAAAGTTTAATAGAAAAAATTGTCATTTATCACAAACAAAAACCTACTATTACCAAGTAATGTTATGTTATCTGAAAAATATATGGATGACTTACAAAAGGCTTATGCATAAAATGTTTAGTAGAAACATTAGTAAAAACTTGTTATACATATATAGATGACATGTACTCAAAAGCATTTAGGTAAAGAGTCATATAATAGATTTAAACGATATTCTTGATTATAAGAAAGTATAATATAAATATAAAAAAAATAATTCAATATGAAGTCGGAAAACATTTTGGGTTTTATATATACCCGGTAAAAGATAGAGGCCAACCTTAAAAAGATTAAAGCAATACACAAGATGCAGCAATGAGAACAATGAATGAGGTCTAAAAGTTAATAAGTAAAATAACAATGTCTTGAACAAGTTAGCCAATTGATTTTCATCATTTTCCAAATTATTAAGAAAGGTTACGAAATTCAAATGGTTTAAAAATTGCCAAAAGTTATTTGAAAAGGTGAAGTGATACTTAGAAAAACCATATATGCTAGACTAGCTAATAATAAATGAAGTTTTATACATTTATTTGGTAATGACTACTAAAGTTACTAATATGGTATAGGTTTGAAAAGATATTAGAGAATAAAAATCTAGTTTATTAGGTTAGTGAGATGATAATGAGACCTAAACAAAAAGATATATTGATTGAATACTGTGTTAGAACTCTTGATAACATTAAGAAAACTAAAGGTCTATTTTCAAGCTCATATCATACATATGTAGACCAATTATCCATTTAAAGAAACCCTATAAAAATTAGATGTAGCCAAATGTACTGTAAAGTAGTTTATAGAATTGAATGAGATCCATATATATTATAAGCCATGAGCTATTATAAAAGTGCAGACACCAGTATAGTTCATAACATAAATGAATGCTAAACATTAGGGAGTTTTATAGACATGTCATAAAGTCACATAATTAGTGGAGTTGAAATTATTTCAGTTTGGTAGAAATTTCCCCCAATATAATATGGGATATGATTTGGATTCAAAACATTAAATAATAAATCATAATACAAGATGTTACTTACAAGTCTTATGATTTTAGTGAAATTGAGTATCTAGGATCTTAAAGTATACATCAATGATAGTTGGTAATGAATAATAAGTTGAATGAAACATTTATTTTATGAAAGTTGAAGATATGATGAAGAAACTAAAAAGTTTTTTAGTATAAAATAAATTTTAAAACAAAAAAATTATAAACAGATGCATTAAAAGTTAATGTCAATACTAAATATCAACTTTGAAAACCCCAAAATCATAGAAGGAGTTTTGTTCTTGAGCATAGAAGGAAAGTTGACAGTAGAAATTTAATAAGGATTAAGTTAGATTGATCCCATTAACAACTATCTAAAAAATAAAATCCTAGATAAGAAAGATACAAAACATGTTAAAAGGCTTTCATTCAAGATAATATATTATATGATTAAAGATGATATAATGTATAAGTTATTAGTTACTCGATCGTTGTTACATTGTTTTGCCAACAAATAAGTAAATTATGCCATGAGTAAGGTGTATAAGAGTATTTGTGGTAATCATTTAGTAGACTAAATTTGGTGAAGAAAATTATTAGATGAGGCTTTTACTAGCTCATCATGGTTAAATATTGTTTGGAAAAGACAATAAAGTGTTCAGTAAGCTAAAAGTTTAGACATTTACATCACAACCCTATATAAAAGCTACAAAGTCTAAAAGTGCCATATCACTTTTCATAATAAGGGATAAATGCATTGAGGCTCTTCTTACTAGGAAAAAAATAGTTTATAATGATAGTAATTATTTATATTACCAAAAGGGCATAAGATAAGGTTATAGCTAAAATTATATATATAAAAAAGACAAAAGAGTTTGTGAGGAAGAATACAATATGCATATTTAAGTTCCGTTTGTATTTGGTAGTTGTTAATGGAAGATGATTTAGTAATTATAATTTTAAAGATTTTATAACAAATAAAAAATAGATCTTTGACTAAAGTTCATTTCACATCATTGGATAAATAAATGAGTTGAAGCAAGCTAATAATAAATAAATATTAAATGAATTGAAAACCAAATTTGAAGCAATGAAGAACTTGATAGAATGTTTTTTAAAAGTAATACTTTTCTGATTATAAAACTTACAAAGCTTGTAGTAGTACTATTAGTAGATGTTATGCAATGTATTTGTGTATATGAAAATGAATGAAATAGAAAAATATAATGAAAAAAGTTATTTCATAGATAAATCTTTCATAATAAATATATGTTGTTACTACTTGTCAATTTGATCTTTGCTGTAAAATGTCATTAGCCATCAATTTATTCTTCATCGAATGATATTATTGACCATCAATTTGATCATTTTCAAATGATATTATAAATAACTAATTCAGTCTTTACTAAGTTGTCAAATGTAATAAATAACTAATTCAGTCTTTACTAAGTTATATCATTAACCATTGATTTGATTCTTATTGGATGGTGTCCTAACGTTCGGTATACTCTAAATATTATCTTTAAGAATAACTTATTTGATTATCACTAAATGGCATTCTCAGCTAACAATACAACTTTTATTGAATGTTATTCCTATATATGATGCTTTTCATTTCCAATAGATGGTAAAAAAAAAACAACCATTGAAAAATTCATTCGCACATAAAAATAACAAAAAAGTATATTAACAAACAATATAAAATAAGTCATTAAAGCAAGACATATTTATAAATACAAATATATAAAAGTTCTAGTATAATTTATGACAAGAGTAAAACATTACATTAAAATGATGATAATGAGGTATCAAGAATGTTGTTTTCACCTTTCACCTACCCCTGTTACTACAAATAAGAAGTCTTCTTCTCTCCATCATCTCCTTTATTTTTACCTTGATGAGCCAATCTTGAAAAAAGAATTATTAATTGTCAAATCCTTCATATCATTTATGATGTTCTCATCACTTTCATTAGTGTGATTGATTACTCTCAAGTTATAACCCTTGTAAGGGAAGAGGGGTATAAAAATTTGTGAGATCCCACATCGGAAGTGAAAGCCTAGAGCCAAGGCCTTATAAGCGGTGCTGGTTGCCAATATGTTGGACACGTTTTGGGGCTGTGCGTGGCTGCCAGGAACAAAACCGTGAGAGGGACCTGGGTCGAAGCCTGAAAATGGATGGATTGGGAGGCCCAAAGCGGACAATATCCACCATATTAGGCCGAGTTGTTACAAAATTAATATTAGAATAAATTAGGAGGCCCAAAACGGACAATATCCAGCATGTTGGGCTGAGTTGTTACAAAATTAATATTAGAATAAGAGGTAAGGCTTAAAACAAGAAAGATAAGTCTTAGATAGGGAATTCTGAATAGTAAAGACTGAACACTTGGTGAAGAAGTCAAATCATGCCCTCACTAGAAAACTTAGTCATCTTTTTTCTAAAAACATTCATCTACTTATGTCAATCAGTCTTATATTTAATGATTTTCATTATAAATCTAACTTGATCATTTTTCAAATTAGATAATTTTTTCTTGTGATCTTGTATTTGGACTTTGTAATGGTTGATTGAAAACTTTGAACTTTCCAAGCCAACTTCTAAGTCTAAATAATAATACTCTCTCTTTTTTCCAACTAATCTTGTAAGGATGCCACCTAATAGTTGAGAGTATAAGATTATTCTTCTAAAAAGACATGATGCTTGTGCATTTTAAAAACATTTAATGTCCTTTAAGAAAATTAGATCAGCAAATTAAACAATAAATAAATAATAGCAATAAAAACAAAAAGAGGAAATTGCTTACCAAAGTAAGAAATTTGGTAGCATTAATGCTCAGGTAAAATTATATTTGATACTGTATCATGACTCAATTGCATGGCGTAAAGACATTCAATACAAACATTATATTGGTTTTATGTTTGATAATCATGTTATTGATTAGTGAGTCTCATAAAGGGGAGAAAGCTTCATTTACTCCTTTATCCTATTCAATGCAAACATTATATTGGTTTTATGTTTGATAATCATGTTATTGATTAGTGAGTCTCATAAAGGGAAGAAAGCTTCATTTACTCTTTTATCCTACTCATGAGAGAAAAAAAAAAAAGTACTTGTATAAGTCAACCATTGAATTTTTTATTTGTCACATGCCTTTTAAGCTTTGTTTTTTAAAATGAGAGAAAAAAAAGCACTAGTATAAGCCAACCATTGAATTTTTTATTTGCCACATGCCTTTTAAGCTTTGTTTTTTAAATGATTTTTGTTGGAAGCCATAAGAATATGGTTAGCCAAGATTGTATGATCATTAGGATCATGATCTGTACATATAATAACCATAGTGAAGACAATAGAATCAAACCTCATTTTTATATAATCTAAAATATGTCCAAAATTAGAATAAACAAAACATTAACAATAAGGTGCAAATAAAAATTAAAGAAAAGATCAAAGCAAATAAAAGAAAAGTGAAAGAATAAAATATAAATGGATTTGTACTTTATGGTTAATGGAAAAGATGAGAGGAGTGCATTTGAAAAAACATCAAATTATATCAAATACACATTAGCTATTTTGACCAATGAGGTAAAAAAAACAACATTCTCCTAATCTTAATTAACCTTATAACTTATTTTTCAATCAATGTGAGGATAATTTTTTATTAATTTTATTTTTATATTTAGGGATCTCCAAATTAAGGTAAGAGGCACTCTCCATCTAGTTGATTAATAAAAATATGATGGATTTTTCAAAAATTAAAGATTTTGAGAATCTTTCTTAGAGTACATTGGCCTTTATCCTTTTAGCTTAAAAATAATAAAGCCTAAAAAAATTTCTAAAATTAATAAGATGATAAAAATGATGTATTAAATGAAGTGAGCATGGATGATCGAGATGGTGACAAAATAAAATTACATAAAGATAAAAAAGCTAATGCTTCAGGGCTAATAAAGCAGGAATCGGTTCATACTCATTATCATATTACTATGGGATCGAGGAGGAAGCAAAGTCCTCCCATCCAAAGTTTTCTTATAAAAAAGAAAACATCATCTTTAAAAGAAGTTTTTAAGAATTAAATCATCTGATCAATCAACGACAATCAATAAATAGAAATATACCTTACTAAAACATTATAGATATAAATAAAAATGACATGCTTATAAGAAATGATAATGGATTCATCCATAACAAAAAAAATTAATATCATTATCTAAACGATCAAAGTTTAATAATGAATTCATCCATAACAAATTTTTTTAATATCATTATCTAAACGATCAAAGTTAAAGGAAGGATAGTTAGAAAAAACAGTAGAATATCAATATAATTTATAAGCTTCTCATCTATGAACCCCAAATATAAAATTTGTTCATAAAAAATGGAAAGCTTGTGATCCATGGGTATTTGTTAAAAGTCTATATCATTATTGCTTGAAGGAATGAAAAGAGAAAAAGGAAGATAAAGGCAGAGTGATCAAAGTTTATATCCTTTAAGCTAGAAGGGATTTTTTGAGCATCGCTCATTTAATAAAATAAAAATGAGAAAATAAATATATTTGAAAAGTAAAATTATAAAATGATGAATAAATTATGGGGTTTTAAATGTTGGCTAAAGGAAAATTCAAAAACACAATCATGACGGGAAGGAGAAAAATAAGAATTTTTTTTTGTTTTTTACTTAGAAAAATCACAATCACACGTGTGGATTATAAGCATCGAAGTTTACACTCTTAACACTTCTTTCATATATAAAAAACTAAAAACTAAATACAAGAATATATAAATTTTCAATAACAATGCATCATTTTAGAAAAAAAGTGATAGGGTTTTTTCAGGGTGGTAGCTAATGGTATATAGATGTACGATCCTTTCTAATAATACGACTATAATATCCTTAAAAAATGAACGTTCGAGATATAATTAAGAAATAAGAAACAGGGAAATAGTTAAGTAAAAAAAATATAGAAGTACAAAAATACTTCTAAGAAAAGAAATAAGAAATATAATACCTTTTTAAATAAAAAAAAAAAGAATAACTGTATGTGGGATTTTTAAAAGATTGAATTGGACAAGTTAGCAATGATACAAAAATTCTTCATCATCCTAATTAATATATTTTGCATCCGTAGACACACATATTAATTTGTTAGTTTCTAATAATATTATATATTTTGAAGTATTTTATTATTATATTAATATTTATTTATATAACAACAATGAAGTGTTATACTAGTTTAATTTTTTAATCTTTCATGTAAAAAGTTCTCATGCAAATGGAAACACCTTCCTTCTTTATGTTGACTAATTTTCTAAAATAAAGTTAAGTATAGAAATGTTAGGAAAATATTTCCCTAAAAAAAGTAATTTTTGACAAACAAAAAAGGCTTTGCTTTGTAGTAAGATGATTTAAAAGAAAAAAAAAGATATTTATTTAATAAAGTTATAGTTTTTCTTTACTAGGGTGTTATGATTATAAAAGACTTATTGATAATATATAGAAATTTTATATTATAACATACTTAAAATTCAAAAGATTATATAGGTTTTCATTATATGTCAAGCCCGCGCGCTATCACGGACTTATAATATATTTGTATATTATTATGAACTTATAAAAAAAAATATAAAAAGATTATATGATAAAAAAACTATTGGAATCTATAATGTTTTCAAAAAAAAAATTACAAAGATAATTTAAGAAAAAATAAAAAAATAAAAGGAAAAAAAATCATATAGCAATCTATAGTGTTTTGTGAGAAAATATACATTTATAATTCTCAACCAACTTAATATTAAAAAAATTAAATTGACAAAGATAATTTTTTTTTAAAAATCATAATAAAAAAATAATATGAGAAATGATCGTAACAATTCACCATGTTTTAAATAAAAAAAGTATAGAGTTGAATTCTTAACTAGCTTAATATTAAAAAAAATAAAAGCAACAAAAATAATTTAAAAAAAATCATATAAAAAATAAAAATCATAAAAAAGAAAAAAAGAGAAGAAAAAGACCCTTGTAGGAAACACTATAAGCAATTCACAATATTTTATAAAAAAATTTATAGTTATAAATTTAATCAGTTCAATATTAAAAAAATAAAATTGACAAAGATAATTTTGAAATATAATAAAAAATATAAAAATTATATGATGAAGCACTGTAGTAATTCACAATATTTTAAAGAAAAAACTATAGAGTTAAATTTTTAATCATCTCAATATAAAAAAATAAATTTAAAAAAAAATAATTTTAAAAAATATAAAAAAATTATAGCAAAACAAAAATCATAAAAAAAACTTTGTAGTAATTAATAATATTTCAAATAAAAAATTATAAAATTAAATCTTTAATCAGTTTAGAAAAATAAAAAAATTATACGAGGGTAAGTACAGTAATTTCCCACGTATTCCTGAGTATTAGGTAATTTTTGACCACACAATTTTTTAAATTTTACCTAACATATTTTTCATTGGTTTTGAAGAAAAGCAAAAAAAAAGGGAAAAAACGCTCGTTTGCTTACCGCCCTCTAAAGGACCGTTGCGGGAGTGAGAGAGAGAGAGAGGAGAGAAGAAAACCAAGAAAGAAAATTTGTGTCCCCTCTATAATTTCGAAAGCCGAGGTCAATAATTTTGACCAGACTGCAAAGATCCCTCTTAATTTTTTCATCCTTTATCTACAGCGCAAGCACCTCGCATCTTCTTTTCACAAAACTTTGCTTTTCGTCTCTTTCTCTCTGTTCGATGGTGTGGTTTCAGTGATCATGGCTGTAGAGCTCGTGATGGGTTACAGGAACGATGGTTTTGCAATAACAAGTAAAATGGAAGAAAACGCAGTCCAAGAAGCGGCATCAGGGCTCGAGAGTGTCAACAAGCTAATTAGATTACTGTCACAGAAAAATCAACAAAATCTTCATCAATCTTCAACTTCTACCTCAAGAACTTCCATGGATATGGAAATAGACTGCAAGGCTGTTGCCGATGCGGCCGTTTCCAAGTTCAAGAAAGTCATTTCTCTTCTGGGTCGTAACAGAACTGGTCATGCTCGGTTTAGAAGAGCTCCTGTTTCCACTCCAATTAACCAAAGACAAGAACTAAGTTATCAAGTTCCTGAAGCTAACGCTAAGGTTTATTATGCCACACCAATCCAGCAGATTCCTCCTCCAGTTCTTAACCAAAATCATTATCCTATTCCTTTGCCAAAGAATGGGGTGGAGAGGAAAGATTCGGCAACAACTACTTGTGCCAAAGAATGGGGTGATGGAGAGGAAAGATTCGGCAACAACTACTATAAATTTCTCTTATTCAGCTGGGAACTCTTTTTTGTCTTCATTGACTGGTGATACTGATAGCAAACAGCCATCATCTTCATCAGCTTTTCAGTTTACAAACGTTTCTCAGGTTTCTTCAGCTGGAAAGCCTCCTTTATCTACATCTTCTTTGAAAAGAAAGTGTAGCTCTGAAAATCTGGATTCTGCTGGCAAGTGTGGCTCTCCTGGTCGCTGCCATTGCTCCAAGAAAAGGTACATATATATATCTCTCTCTCTTTCATGATTATAATTCGTCTGTCTCGATTTTTAGAGTTTTTATCCTGGATTTGTATTCAGTTGGATATATATATTTTCCATAGCAGAAAGATGAGATTGAAAAGAGTGGTGAGGGTTCCAGCAATCAGTTTGAAGATGTCTGATATTCCACCTGATGACTACTCATGGAGAAAGTACGGTCAAAAGCCCATTAAAGGGTCTCCACATCCAAGGTATGCTTCTTTCTTTTTCATATGTTTTTTTTAAGTTTTTCTAGTTCTATCTATGCTATGCTTGAGTCTCCAAATAATAGTTGTCTCTAACCATTGATTTCCTACAATTCACACAAAGTCTGAGTGAATCAATGCCTACATTAAGAATATAATTGACTCGCATATTGAAGTTTAGATTCTTGGGCAGAGGCCGGATAATATAAATATTATTATGCGTTAACAATACTCAGTTCGCAGAGGTGTCGTGCTGATGAGAATATATATTTCTTTTTGGGTTATTAATTTGTTCGACAGAGGTTACTACAAGTGCAGCAGCGTAAGAGGATGCCCAGCTCGTAAGCATGTGGAGAGAGCTTTAGATGATCCATCAATGCTAGTAGTTACCTATGAAGGAGAGCACAACCACACTATCTCAGTTGCGGAGACATCCAATCTCATCTTAGAATCCTCTTAACTAGATGATCCCTACCAACAAGAAGCCAACGAAAGAAGTGCCAACAAACAGCACTCCTAAATGGTATGATCAGCAGTGGCTAGCTAGCTGTGGAATCAATCAGATGATCAACCCGGCTTTTTTCTCGAAGGAGAGTAGTGGGTCAGTTCATTTGTTCATTTGCCTGTGAATTATGGGATTCTTGCAGCCCTCTTTTTCCCCCACTCTTGAACAGCTTTGAACCCATCTGATGATTATTTAAAATCTGAAAGAGGAAGGGATCAAGATGGTGGATTTGGTATTAGATTTCAATCGATGTAAAACAAAGCTAGGTAGTGGGGGGTTCTATTCCCTCTGATTTTTTTTTTTTTATAAAAAAATTGCTTGCTTTATGCTTCGGGTTCTGGTTTCTGCCTTCTGGATGCGTACGTGCTACTTTTTCTTACATCATATTTGGATTATTATAAAGAAAAGAAAAGCGCACAATCAAACAATAGCAAAATAAGTGGACGAACATGTCGTGTTTGGGACGGTTGACCATAAGAAAGAGGTAGGCAGTTTCCGGTTGGGACGGCCATTTACACCCGTAGACGTACACACCTATAATTTTATTAGATCAGCCAGGGCGAGCGAGAGGGAGTTTCGAATGCAACTTCTCCTTTGGTGGCTTTGGATTGTAGCCACGGCGAGAAAACCTTTAGACCTTCAAAGAAATTTGTTTTGTCAATCACGTGGGTTCTCCCTGACAAACAACTCTCATGTAAAATCCAATCCCATCCCAAGATAATAGATGTATTTTAAATCATTTTTATTTAAAAATATATTATAATAAAAGATTTTAACTATTTGTTGTCTCAACACTATGATGTAAAAATATATAAAAAACTAATTTAAAACAAAAGAATAAAGAATAAAAATTAAGGCTATAGATTGATTGAGTCGGGAGAGATGAGGGATGGTTCTAGAAGGGCTTGAAGCCTGAACGACACACTAATGTGATGAGAAATCAAGATGGCAAAGTCAAAATGGGTGGGTGGGAGAATTGATAATTTTCTTGTCATCGAGGGCCCTACAATGTTTACTAAATTGTTCTTTGCTTTGCCTTCGCTCAACGTCAACGTTGCTGTGCTGGAGGGTCCCCCCTAAAGTCATCCATCATTATCGCTTCGTAAATCCACGCATATGCTCCTTATCTATTGTTTTTTCCGAGTGTTTTTATTTAGAAATACGTTGAAATAGTATTTTGTTTTCAATTTTTTTAAATGTATTTTTAATATCAGTATATTAAAGTATTTAAAAATATAAAAAATTAATTTATTCACAAAATATTTCTCAACCACGAGAAAAAATCATGTTATTATTCAAGGTGGAAAGCAGGAAAAAAAGAGTAGAGAAATGGTGGGTTTGTTTTCAGTTCACCGTGTTGTGTAAGGCAAAAGCTAAATAGATCTTGGGTGTGTTCCTGACGCCTGTCTCTTTGCGTACGAGCATAGAGAATCTCGCAACTCTAGCCGGCTAGCCAGCAGACTGATAGCCTGGAGACCATCTCTAAACTTTCTGTTCATCTAACTGTGGGGTATTATTTTTTTCCCCTTTGTTCATCAAGTTGCTGCGTTGTTGCCTTTGGCTATTATTATTATTATTATTATTATTATTATTTCCTGTTTGAAACTTTGTCTTTTGTGTTTTATTTTTGGATGTATAAGAGTTTAGTAATAGTTATTTTTTAAATTATTTTTTATTTAAAAATATATTAAAAAATTATTTTAAATAATAGTATATTAAAAAAATTTAAAAATACAAAAAAAGCATATTAAAAAAAAAATAAAAATACAAAAAAATAATTTAAAGTATGAAAAAATATAAAAAAATTTATTTTTTTCTAATTTTTTTAAAATGTAAAAATAAATAGAGTCAAAAGTTTTTTTTTTCCACTACCACTCTCGCTCATTCAGTGGTATATAGGTGTGCATATATTTGTTTTTTTTATTTCTCTAATTAAATTAATTGATAAATAATAGTTGGATAAAGAATAAAAATAAAGTAATATTTGATATGCTAGACAATATCAATTGGATTGGACAAAATTAAACTGGACTAGATAAATAACTGTTATATCTTATGTTTAGTGTATACTAGACTAAACTTAATAATTTATTTTTATTTTGTGTTGGGTATATATTAGACAAGATAGAACAACATATAGCAATAACAATAATACTTATATGTCTTGTCTAATGTTTGAAGTATAGATTATAATATATATTGTTTTCTACATCAAAATTTAAAGAAGATATTTAACACAATCAAAAGATTAATGTTTTATCCTAAATACAAGAGTATCAAAGTAGAAAATAACTCGGCAAAATTAGAATCGAATCACAAAGAGGTTAACTATATAAATTATAAATGATGATAATGATGATGATGATGATGATGAGTTGATGAGGACTTTGAAATGAAAATTTAATATGAAGATTAAATAATGATAAAAATAGTTGTTGCAATTATAGGATCCACTAATGGTATTTCAAATAAATATAATATAATTCTTTTTTATTACTCAATTGGAAATCATATACAAAGAAGGTTCCAATCGGATGACTTGTCATTAATAACTCATTATAAATTGTTAACATGATCATATTAATTATCTTATTTAAATAACACCAAACTTTTAAATATTGTCATGAATTTATGATGCTAACTTATATTAACAACAAATCAAGTTCCTTTCATAACACAGATGTAGGCTATACCAGACGATTAACTATAAAAGTGCCAAGCATTTGTTATACCAAGTGTTATACAATACAAATTTAGATTAACCATTTAACAAGTAAGGTATTAAGAATTAATAAGATAAAAATAATAAGACATGTTAATAGCAAGTTGTTTAGGATATAATCATTGAAGTCCATATTAAGTTTATATTATACTTATCCTAAGTGAAACCTTTTCACTTTGAAATAATAAACTTAACTAAACATTATAAAGAAGAGAAATATAAATAAAAAAAATGAGAATATAATTATATAAGTATAGTAAATGAAATAAAAGGTATAAATAAGATATTAATGAAACTATAATATGAAATAAAACTAGAGCATTAAAACTATAAAGAAAGAAAGCAAGTAAGGAAATGATCTTAATCTAAAAATCAAGATGCCTAAATACATGACAAATACCTCCTTTTATCGATCAAAATTTGAAACTATTGTTTGATGACTAATTGTTGAGT